GTGTGTGTGTGTGTGTGTGTATGTGTGTGTGTGTGTGTGTGTGTGTGTGTGTGTGGTGGGGGGTGTCAGGAAGGGGGCGCGTGTGGGTGGGTGGTCGGGGCGGCTGCGAGGTGGTGAAGCTGCGGTGCTGCAGGTTGGTTGGTGGGGCCCCGCAGCGAATGTTTCGTTGGGTCCTTGGTACAAGGGGTCAAGAGACAATCTGGGCTGTTTGATTACGACATGACATCCCAGCGAGCTCATGCCCTTGGTGTCATGCGTGACCCTACTTCTTAATGTCACACCAAGGTGCTTGCGTGCACGCGCATACACAGGCGCACCCCCACAAAAACCACGCACACACATACACCCCCACACACACGCACGCACACACACACACACGAACACACACATTGCACCCCCCCTGGCACTCACGTTGTCCAGCACCGCATCGGGGTCCAGGTTGAAGCGCCCCGCAATGGCGCGCACGCGCTCTGGCCTGAAGGTGCCCTCGGTGTCCACAAACGCCACCTGGACGTCATGGGTGAACGCAGCGACACATGCATGCCAGCGAGCGTCACGGTTTGAACCGCTTTGTGGTAATTTCACAGGGCAAATCCATGTCGGCTTCCTGCAAGATTTTGAACAGCACTGCTGGGGCCGAACCGGGTGTTCATGCAGGAAGAGCAGGGCCAGGCCAAGTCAACAAGCAGCAGGCAGGCAGGCGGGCAGCTGCCAGTGAGTAATGGGGGGCGGCGTACCTTGCCGGCGCCGCCGCCGTCCGCTATGGGCAGCTGCGTGGTGACGCAGAGCGTGTGGCACAGCTGGGTCTTGCCGGTCCTGCGGGCTCATTGGGAGGGAGTGGCCAGGGGCGACCTCAGACGTGCGGGCGATCATTGCCCATCGCGGGCCCCGCCCTCCGCCTCAACCGGGACCGCTCCAGCAACGCCCGATCCCTGCCCAGCCCGCGCCCATCGCAAATGCGCGCCCTGCCTCGCTGCACGCCTTGACCAACCTTGCCGTCCCACAGCAGCCCCGATCTCAAGTCCCACCCCACTCCTGACCTGAGCACCTCAATTCCTCCCCCATCTCCCAAACCATTCTGGGGACAAATTCTTGACCGATTCCCAACCCGTATCCCCACAGGTGCCCAGCACCCCACCTGAACTCCCCGTACATCTCAGTGATGCACTTGGTCTCGGCCAGGCCGCCCCCCAGCAGCGTGTCCACTGCGGACGACCCGCACGTGATGCGCACAATCTCCCGCTGGCGCTGTGGTGGTTGGTTGGTTGGGAATATGCAGGGCTGACAGGGGTGGTGTGCGTGCGTGCGTGCGTGATTGTGCGTGCATGTGTGTGTATGTGTATGTGTGTGTATGTGTATGTGTGTGTGTGTGTGTGTGTGTGTGTGTGCATGTGTGTGTGTGTGTGTGTGTGTGTG